AGCCAATGTAGATACAAAAAATAAAGGTTTAAAGTAATAAATCAAAATAATGTCAAGAAAATAATAAAGAAATTAAAGTTTAAATTAAAAAAGGAAATGTAAATGTTTTCTAAATTCATTCCCTTTTAAAGTTAAAAAAAAAATTCATTCATATAAATAACACAGGAGTAATCTCTGTGTTTGAATGTGTATCTCCCTTCTCACATACTGTAAAAACAATCCCACTGAAATCCTATGAGAGGCCACTTGATCTCAGGGGTTCAGTTATTTTCGTAACCGAGTACACAAGTGAACCACTGAATTTCATTTTGAAATAAAATAACTCAGTTATTTTGTGACAATGCTGTTGGTGGTCATTTTTTGTCATTCTGAAGTCAACACTACAAGCCGGTCCGTTTATTTTCAGTTGTGGTTTCCTGTGAATATTTGTGGAAGAGAGCTGAACTCTGGAATAACAGCATATGATTTAGTTCTGGCTGAAAGGCGGAGCATTTCTCCTGTGTTCACACCCTACTGTGCGTTTACATATGTAGCTTCAAGCATTGCTGCCCTCTTAACAGTTTGCACGTGGAACATTCTGAAATGTAGAGCACAAGAAGACAAGATTTAGGTGAGTGATGGATCATATTTTATGGGAACAGATTTTGAAATGAAACCGTAATGTACATGTCCTTATTTTTGTGTTTTTCTCCAGAATTCTCAACTTGACTCATTGCAGAGATGATAATGCTACATATTCCAGCTGGGTAGTTTCCACATCATTCAATAGTTTCCAGTGAAAATGCTAAAGCAGCTGCAGTTTTTCCTTCTGTTGGGAACATTATTTATCACGTTCTTCATAATAGTTCACTGGGATGACGTGAGAGATGGGACTTTTTATCTGCACGTGGCTCCATCATCTCCTGCATTTCCCACAGACATGATGTCCTCTGGACACTGGATAAGTGAGGATTCATTTCTCTGGAAAGAGTCAAGCAGGTCAGTCAAACCAAACCTGACAATCATCACAACTCACCTAAAACATGACCGAACACAAACTTTTACGCAGTCTTCTCCAACACACCTCGAACTGCGTCAAGCACATCGTAGACATTTAATAAGAGAACTATGCTCAGCCAATAGCAGCTTCAACTTCCCTGGAAAATTTAAGACATTTGACCAGATTCCAAGCAAAGCCCTGGACCATCTCATTGTGGATGATCATCATGGTGTTATTTACTGCTTTGTACCGAAGGTAGCCTGTACCAACTGGAAACGAGTCATGATTGTGCTCAGCCAGAGCCTGAAGGCACCTGATGGAGCTCCGTATCTGGATCCTCTTGACATACCATCAGCGTTATCCCACAATGCTACTCTGCATCTGACATTTAACAAGTTTTGGAGGCTGTTTGGTCGTTTCTCTCGTCCTTTGATGCATCACAAACTGAAGAATTACACTAAGTTCCTTTTTGTAC